TCAAGGACAGCTCTTATCAGAACTACGGCTTGCCCAAGGTCATCCAGCCAGGTGCAAGTGGAGGAGTGGGGAATCAAACCTGGTTCTCCCAGATTAGAGTCCGCGCACTTAACCACTACACCGAACTGGCTCTGCATATAAGGCAGCTGCATGTGTGTTCATCTGCTCCTTTCCTACTCAGACCCTTTCCTGTTCATGAGATGAGGCATTTGCCCCTTTCCTGTTCAGCCATACTGGGGATCAAGAGGTGCAATTACTCAGCCTACTTGGGATAGCTAGTTCTTTACTCGTGCATCTCATGGGCCCTTTTATACATGGACTCTCTTTCTTGCTTTCTTGCATGCCCCTGCCTTTTCCTTCTACTGAGAAAAGGTCAGAATCTCTTCTTCTCTTGAACTTGAAGCAAAATACCTTTAGTGAAGCCCTTGAGCTGTCAGGAATCCCATTGGCATATTTCCCTGAGATGATCCCACAAGCAAGCGGAGACCATGTCATCGCTCCAACTCCTACAGAACAACCAACAAGACAACGCGGTAAAAAGGCAGTTATATTATTCATGTCATTTATTGCATGCATCTACATGTGCATGCGTATATTCACAGACATATGCTTTATATAATACAATAGGATGAAGTCCATCGGTCTATTCTACTAACAGTGGTGTTTTCTTCCAGTGCAAGAGGCTTTTCTGCTGCTGCAAGCACTTCTTGCATCAAGAAGAGTCCAGCTGGATCAGACCGGCTTCCTGTTTCACACAGTGGCCAACCAGTTGTCCAGTAGGGCCAACAAGCCAGGAGGGCTGTGGGTTGGAGGAAAACCACAGGCAAAGCAGATCCATGGGATCCTACTTATTATATAGACAAACTGAAGATATTGTGAATAATTATTCTCATCAGTGTCACCGTAATGGTAGGAATACTTTGTTTTTAAAACGTCAGCTTTGTTTTCATCCAAACAAGTAGAGGAATGCCATTTCTTGCAGTTTGTAAAACACCATGCATATTGATGACACTAAATAATCACACACGTTAACATCAACAACATCAAGCATACGGTCTTCATTATTTATGGCTTCTACTGGGATCAAGTCACAAGGGCATCCTCAGTAGCTATCCTACAACAAGGGAACTTCTTCCTTGTGGACATACAGCGAAGTCCTAGCCTGAGCTTCTTTCAACAACATTGCAAGATATTTATACTTGGGTTTTCAGTGGCCTGTGTTAAGCAGTTAATCATAAAACCAGTTATTTTAACATGCTTTTTGACCGTAATTACATGAGTTAGGAGAATGGGATGAGTTTGAAAGTACAAGCGAAAGAAATAAAATAACTCTCACACAGGGCAGGATTAACTATCATAACAGGTATGCCGAGGAGCAAAGATTCCAGCAGTAGCATAACGATCTGAAAGTTGGTATAAAACGACCTTCTTGTTCAGAACTTCTTCAAAAATACTCCATAGGTCAGACTACAGTGCGTGTTTGCTCACTGTATGCCAGTGGAGAGGGGGTTGCTTTGCCAAGAGTGGCAAAAAGATAAAAAATAAAATAGGCAGCTGTGGTAGTAAGCACTTTTTGGTGCAAGGAAATTAATGCATATGCTGCCTCTCAGGCTGTGAAGCAACCACAATAGAACTACGGGGGTTTTGCCATGAGCTAGAAAGAAGACCACACTGGCCTTCCCATGTACAATGATGGTGCTATATAAAATAACAACAATACATTAACAGGAAAAAATTATAGTGGCATCCTGGAAGAGATACAGTCCTTTTACCTTGCCTAGAGAATACTGCTGTGGACTATTTGTAATACTGATAATTACTGAACAGCAGAAGCTATTACAATTTCAGAGTATACACACTCTTTGTATCAAAATGAGTTCTTTCTCATTCTCTTATGGATATTAACAGTGCAGGCATTACCTATTTTGTGGTATAATTCCGGTAACTGGACCTCCACCTTTTCTCTTTGGAACAGGTGGTATTCTGCTTGTTCGCACACCGGTGGAATCATATTGAACTGTCTTGCTACCGAATAAGCTTCCTGTGGAATATCAGTAGCAAAAGGAAAGCACATTAGCAGAGACCTCTCCTGGGAAATCTAACCACATGAAACCAGGCCTTCCCTGTCTTCAGTCAATGGACATTTCTGATCGTATCAGTAGAGATACAGTGTTTTTACTGATAAATCGATTAGTTTAAATTATTTTAAAAAACAGTTCCTTGCCTAAAAAGTGGTTCTAATGAATTGGACAGATGTTAGTTTTTGAAAAAGAAACCACCAGTACTTCTGAAAGCGGCATTTTATATAGTTGTATGAACAACCCCCCTAACAAACAGCAAAGTCAAGTGGCCATGAAATGCATGAAATACAGACTAATTATGTAAAATTTAAATCTAATCTAGAAAAATGCAGAGACTGTTCACTAGCTATGCTAAGCTAGTTAATATCTGTAGTGGATGGGGGAACCCCAGCTTTTGCTAAGCGAATAAAGAGTGAAATTCATTTATGATGGGCAGGATCCTTGTTTGGTGTCAAGCTTCTGCATATATAGCCAATCCTACAAGAGTTTACAGAGCTCTTCTTACAGAAGCTACTGTAAGCTCTTGGAGGATTGGCTACAATAGGGGTGTGTCACCTAATATGCAAAGGAGTTCCTGATACAAAAAGAGCCCTGATTGAGTATGTTATTCTCTGAGTACCTTTGCAAAACTGCTCCTGCAGTGACAAACCCTATCTGCAGATTGTCTGAATTAGGAATATAGGCCTCCTTGACTCACAGAAACTCCTCCTGAGGTCACATTTCACTAATCTCTGATCTCATCCTACGAATGTAGCCAGTACTGAGTACAAATCATGATAGCTCAATCATATAACCCTTCCATACTCCCTCGGATCTCTAGTCCTCAAGACTGCAAACCCAGAGTTGAAAATGTATTGCCAATGCCTAATGAAATCTCAGTAGTCGATAGCTACATGGACATTGGGAGAGTTCCATTGAGTGGAAGGTGGTAGGTACATCTTATGTCTCTCGCCCCAAACAGAAAAAGTAGAATGTATGTTTCATTTGTATGGTTGATAGAAGTCAAGGAACTTGGCATTTGTTGGAGCAGAATGTGGATTGCCTTCATGTGGAACTGGGATTTATTTTTAGCACAGAACCAGGGCTTTTTTTGTAGAAAAAGCACAGCAGGAACTCATTAGCATAATAGGCCACACCCAACAGCAAAAACTCATTAGCATATTAGGCCACTCCCTGAGCGCCCCGCAACTGCGGGGAGCCCGGGCAAGCCCCCCCTTGAAGGGAAAGGAAGGCAGTTTAAACTGCCTTCCCTTGGCTTGCCCGGGCACCCTGCAGCTGTGGGGAGCCTGGGCAAGCCGGCCCTTGGACAGGTCGGGGAAGACACGGGGAGGCATTTAAATGCCTCCCACATCCTTCCAGGGCCCCTCCAGCTGGCCCACCTCGGAGTCTCCAGGGTGTGTGTGTTCGCTCTCCAGGCCTTCCCTCTGAAGCCACGCACGCAAAGGTTTTGTCTGTAGTGGGCATGGCCAACTCTGAAGCCAGCCGGAACTTCATTTCTGTGCGTTCCTGCCCCAAAATAGCCCTGCACAGAACATACATAAATGTATCTGGAACCGTGAGAAAAATATTCTGTTTCTATTGGTAGCTTAACCTCCTCTGTCCCTTTATGAGAAGCTCTCTTACCATGATCTCCATGGCGCTCCATCGGGAGGTTCCCCAGTACATTGCCATGCCCTGGTTTATCACGTGCGTCATTGCCCGGACAATTTCTAAAACAGAAAGAAAACAGATGTTTATGACACCCAATTGCGCACAAGCTGTCTGGCGCAAATTTAGACAATGTCTCAGTGGAGCAGATTGGTCCTTTGATTGGGGAAGTTCCCAGCAGGCTGCTGCTCTGGAGGGCTGCTGGTGGTGACCAAAAGCAGAGCCAAGATCCAGCTGCCATGCAGGCACTGCTGCCACGACTACACAGACAGGAACTGAACGGCAGCAGCATGCATGCATGACGACTGCCAACTCATAACCTTATGGTCACTGTGATGATCAGCTGTATGATATCTTAACTCTGGAAGAGTGATAGAAGTGTAATTTATATTCATTTGAAGAGAAAACACATTATTCTGCAGCTTGGATCCAAGCTAGTGTTTCTGCAGGGACAAAGTTTACTGCCTGCAGAGAACCATTCCCCACCCTCCTGCAGCGGCCCCAATCGCCACCTGAAATCCTGTTCTTGGGGGCCCACTGTCCTCTAAGAACAGGATATGGGGAGGGGTCTCAGCTGGGCTGCTGCAGGTGAGAGAGCTGCATTTCATATGCCCGAGGAAACAATAACCTGGACCATAGCCTGTGAGTTGAATACTTTCCTATGAAGTGAAATATATCCCTGCTGATATCTTTTCATGACATGAATTTTTTTTTTACAGTTTTTACACAAGAGGGCACCCTTGGAGAAAGAGACATCAGCCAGCCTGGGCATTTTTTTAAAAAGGAAACTAATTAAAAGTGGATTGCACCAACTTTTAAAGCACAAAGAAGCTTACTAAACCAAGGGCAAGCTGTGCAAGGCAGCTTTTGCTGAACTCCCTTTGATTTGAGCCAAAGGCAGAAAACTTACTGAAGCAGGTATGAATTTAGTTAACATCCTGGATACCTCACAGATGCTACCATGAGCTTGCTCGAAGGAAAGCATGACTATATATATGCAGGGGTCTTTTCGTAGAAAAAGAGCTGCAGGAGCTCATTAGCATATAGTATGCTAATGAGCCACTAGGCTATTAGCATAATAGCTCATTAGCATATGCAACACCCCCTGACATCACCGGAAGTGATGTCAGAAGGGGAAACAAAAGGGGGGGGGAGGCATCTTCAAAAGCCTCCCCTTCCCTGGGGGTGGAGCGAAGAGAGAAGGGGTTTAAAGTTTAAACCCCTTCTCACTAGAGTTGGGCCGCAGAAGAATGAAAGAAGGAAGGAAAGAGAGAGAGAAAGAGTAGAGAGAAGGAATTAAGGAAAGAGT